TTGCTGATAGTTCGATAAATCAAGCAATCGTCGGCAAATAGTCGAACATGTGAGTTGACGGAAGCAGGAAGCAGGAAGACTTTTTCAAAGTCTGTCTAAAATTAGCAATAGTCGCTCTCTAATTTAGAACAAGGTAATTTCTTACGGAATATAACTTGACATGGTCGTACTATAGTTGCTAGGGAAGAATATCAGCCAAAGAATTTGCTGGGTTTACCTGTAATAATAGGCCACGCTACTCTTCCCAACTGTCTTCTCCAAAATTCACTAGGTCAGGAAATCCGCATTTTCTCTTCAAAACATCACCAGAACGGCACAAGTCCACAGCGACAACTCCCAGTCATTCTGTTGCACACTCAGTAAAAATAATCTACCGACGAAAACAATAAAAAGTACCCAAAATTAGTAAAAAAAATCAGCCCAGAATTTATCCGTCGTACGAAAGCGCCATTTTGGAAGGACCATGCCATTTTTACACAGGTGTCCAAAACGGCCCTGTCTAATTCATGTGAAGCTGATAATCTAATTATGACGACCAATGATGGCCCGTCTCGGTGCCAGGCACTTAAATGTGGCGAAGAAGGTGGATTAGATGATATATTTGCGAAATCAATGATTAAGATTGTATAATTCTTCAACCGGATGGGTTAACATCATTTTACGAAGGTATGAGGTCGTCGAACTATTGTTTATTATTCTTTTAGGCGTGTTCTTGCACAATAAACTTTGAATCGTAAGGGACGAAAGTTAAAAGCGACGCCTACTGATGTATGTTAGATTTGCCTCTAACTTTCATAAGGTAACAGATTGAGTTGAATCCCTATTGAACTTTAGAATGGTTAAGCCCTTTATTTCATTATTAGGCTTGGTCTTGCACAATACCCTTTGAATTGCAAGGACATAAATTAAAAGCGACGCCTACCGGTACATATTATATTTGCGTTCAGGCGTTACCCGATCATAGTGAATTCGAACAGGAATATTCAGCCATAATTTTTATATAGTTTCTAAACCCTTTGCTGTTTTATTGTTGCATGGACTCAAGGGCTTTGATGCAACTTTATTCGAATATTAATGTAAACAAAGATTGCCTAAATTAAGACATCCACGTGTTTTATAACACAACTGCGTCACCTATCTAGTAGACGAACTAATAGGAAGTAGCATACTATTAGCTTTGTCTTCATGTATCAGAATAGCCCAATTCTTCAAATAAAGAAAAAAAAGAAACAGCAATATTTCTGAGGAAAGTTGCAGTGGAACATATCTCCAGAGCACTCTCTTGTAGGCTAACAAGTCCGGTAAATAACATACCAGGACGATCAAACGATTCTTGTCATAGTTTTCTAACGCAGACAGATGATGATAGAAAAGCTTTTGAGTTCTGCAAAAAAAGAATTGCGTCTTTTCCACGACCCATTCAGTTAATGCCAAATGAATGACTCCCCCGGTATGTAACAAAAACTTCAAGAAGAAAGTTTTAATTAGAAAACTCCTCCTGACGGAGATTTACGAAGACGGTTTGGACAATTGCACGATGCGTCTTGAATGTGTACATTTTAAGTTCAGTAGCAGCAGGAATAACAAGTCTTTACGGGAACCTATGATATATTTTAACGATTCCTACCATGGTTTCTGACACGGGCAGACACTTCCAGGGAAGTTTTATGGACAAAACTCAATCTCCGGCCGTCAGTAAAAATGAAAGGGGATTTGTTTGATTGCTGGCAGTGAATTTTCTGTACTGAGACCAGGGTAGACCCTATGATGATACTGTGTATTCTACTAGCAAAGTAGGCAAGCTTGTGTATACGGAAATATATAGAGGTTATTTGTGTAGAGGGAACGCTTTAGAGATTGTTTGGAGGAAAAGGTGGGATCGTGTGGGGTAATTGTTGGAAGCTTGGCCCCAAAACCACAGGTCCTGGGTTCAAATCCAAGGATCTGTGTCCTTGGGAAAGACACGGCTTTCCTCATTGCACTGAGGTGTAAATGAGTTCGTTTAGGGACGTTCATCGGATAGGACTTTATATGGAGGTCTCAGGAAATCTCAGTTTTGCCCAGACCATTTCATGAGAGGAGATGGGGGTTCCCGAGGGAAATATTTGCATTTGCTCACTGATGTTTAGATTTTAAGGATAGCACATTGAGTCATGTTGGATCGTAGGGATATATCATTATGGCTCCCCTTATAGAGCAAATTACACTTTCTAGTAACTTGCAAGCGGTAAATGAGTTAATCAAGACCTGTAATTACGTCTTCTTAAACCATTTTCTCTTTTCGCCGTCTGCAAATGAACTCTTCACAAGAAACTCTCCATTCGTTAATTGCCATTGATACATCTGGATTGAAGTTTCAAGGACACCCCGGTTGTACGTGCATTTTGTTTCCCAAAAATGAACATCTTTATTCCTTTTGTGTTGTAGTTTTAGGCTGAATTTTGAAAAATGAATTATTAAAAATGGCGGATAGCTAAAATATGCATGACGTCATGCTGACGTCAGTGTTGCTATGGGTAACCAAAAGAACCTCCACCCACCACCGGTACCCCCACCCCCATACACACACTACTGGGAATCCCAGTCTAGATAGGGCTAACTACATAACTATTCATCCCTTGCCATGCCAATTACACTTGGAACTAGTAATTACGTACATCTTTTCAGACCATTTCCCTCCAAGGACACCTATTTTGGCAAAACTCCCTACTTGTATTCCCCATTCGCAGTGCTAAATCCTCCTAAATCTTTACATCTTTCAATAAACCGTTCTCTGACGTTCCAATGCCTCTCCTTCCGTCGTCTCAAACCTAGTCTATGACTTAACGGCATTTTTTTACATCATACAAAATGATTACAAATAAATCTAAAGCCTTTGATGTTTTACAACGGCCTCTATCTTCTTGGCTTTCTAATCAGATTGAAGAAGAGAAAAGACTGTTCCATCACTACAGAGGCTTTAATGAACTTGACGAAGCTTGACTACCAAATTAACGGTTACAGCAGCGCAGTAATTGTCTATTAAAACTCCCACTTAAAGAGGTAGTGCTTTGAATGTTAACGCAAATGCAACGACAATCATACATAGTTGGTTGAACATGGCTCACTACTTCAACATGTATATAACGGCAGTTCCTTTTTAAACCATCATGGTAGAATATTCTGTGAATTCTGGTGAGCACCTTCATGTACAATGTACTTGTCGTCCGAACATATATTGTCTTTTAACATCAATTTTCCATGTTCATATTCTGGCAAAACGACATGACTGCCAAAAAACGTAGTCGCAAAAAAATACAATCTCATGATATGACGACACAGCAAAATTGTCTTGCAAAATGACACAGAAATTACGTTTGAGATACTAGCTCAACTGACAAGAAAATTCAGCTGCCGCAATAGTTACAAGCACCAATTTTTGGACAGATAGAAAGCAGCGTTGTCGATAACTTCAATGCGCACTTCTCAACACACATAAACTGACAGCATATCCAGTTTTATACAATATACAGCTCAAGCAAAACTCACAAAAAAAGTCTGCATGCATTGCATGTATTTGGATTCGGGTTTCTGTGTTAACTCTTAGGCATTTTGGTTTGGCGTTTCATTTCATAATTGCAAAGCTGTGTGTGAAAGTAGGAACACCAGCAAAACTTCAGTCATGTCAATTAAGTTCCTCCACTACAAGGCACTCGGCTGAGGCATATTCGTGGATTAAGACATTGTTTTTTTAACAAGTAGCTGTCTTGGATATTTACTTACAAATTTCACTATTCTTCTTTACAAAACATTAATCGCCGCATATATAACTACATCCAAAAATATATTACAGAGAAAGCTAGCCACAAATTCCTTTCTGATATACACCTATAAGTACATATAAACATATAAGTACATAAATTTCAATAGATACAAATACCATACAAATACCATACAAATACCAAATGTACACTATATCAGTGGAATGAAAATTACATTCCAATCAGTATCTTGAATATTACTTAGTTTCCATAACAATCTTTGAATGTCACAGCAATTTATGGTTACGTAGCTTTTGGAATGTTGTATTGTGAGGCTTCCTTTTGGTCGAATACAGCAATCTTGCCAACACTTTGTGTTCCTAAGCCATGGTATAAAAGTAGGAAAGCTACGTTTAGATGAGGATTTGCAGTTTACGATTCTTACAAAGATTAGCTCGAAAGTTTTTGTTGTGAAATGTAAAAAAAAATGTTGAACTTTTTATTTACTTTGAAAAAAATCTATTCCACTTCAGGATAATGGCATAAAAACAGTAAAAATCAGTCTTATTATGTGTACTGTCTTGCATATTGCTCTTTGTTAAATCTCATTTCAATAAGACGTCCGAAATGTATGGCTTGTGCATAAAGATGTTGGACTGTGGATGTGTGTAAGCATGCTTTTCACTGATGACTCTTGTTTTTGGTAGTCTTTACCAGACTTTGGATAATGTTCTGCGGACCAACTCCCATGGCATATGATTTGTCTATTTGGCCAATTTCCACTTTTTCCAACCGGTTCCTGAGGCCTGGTAGAGGCTGGGTTTTGTAGTGTGTGTGTGTGTGTGTGTGTGTGTGCGCGCGGGGGTGTGTGTATGTGTGTGTGCGGGTGTGTGCGTGCGTATGTGGTGTATGGGGGGGTCTGCGTCAAAGAAAGTTTCACACCATGCTTGATGTGGTTGAGTATTGTGTGAGGTTTAGATGAAAAAAAAGTTTTACACCAATGTTTCAATGGACAGGCAGTTCCTTCCGTCCTTGTGACCATACATGATGGTTTTGTAGTGTGTGGAGTTTTAGGATTTGTCGGGGAAGGTTTGACACCGAAGTTGACATGAACAGGCAGTTACTTCCGTTTCGGTGACCATACATAATGTTTTTGTAGTGTGTATGTGTGTGGGGGTGTGTGGGG